GGGGACTGATTTTGACCATATCTAGGATTCAAATTGAAATTTAATTTTTTTGAAATTGATGATTGAGATGAAGATTGTATGTGTGCGTAAAATTTTGGGTCATACAAATACCACATACATGGATTTCTAGAAGTGTGGTTGCATTATACTATAATACAACCGTTGTATTAGATCACTACTCTAATTTGATTCCTAGACAATATATTTCCATGTATACAAATGCCAATATAAAGCTCATTTCCGTATCATGTATGAGATTTTAAGCAATACTAACATTAATCGTTGTTAGCAATGGAAGACTTTATTTCATACTAGATTAATGGGCTTTAATTAATCTATGGACATCCATGATTGGTTGTTCATGGATCTAGCCGCATGGGCCATTGCTAGATATAACAATGGTTTCTAAATTTAATCAAATCGAGATCGCATTTGTATGGGAAAGGGCAGCCTTGCTTAGTGGGTGCACGAATCTATATATAATGCAATTGGGCTCTTCATACAAGTGGAGTTCTGCGATTGGGGCGCAGACCACTATTGTCCGAGACACGATCCTACAATGAAAGAAATTCGCTCTTATCCAAATAGGATCACGGTATTTTTTAGATGGGGGCAAGACTCAACATTAAATAGAATTTCGTTCTTGTTGTCGATGGAAGTGTGATCCTAATAGACACGGGAGCACGATCCCATTTTACATGGACGGGATCTCGATCCGTAACTTCTACCCTTACGGGAGCTCGCTCCTCGAGCTCCGAAGCTTTGGGCAGCCATCGATCCATCACACCTGCTCTCAGGAACAGGAGCCGCTCTCGCTCCCGGTAACCATGGTCGAGACCTCAGAATCAAGTTTTGTAAGGAGCGGACAGGTGTTCCCTCAACCTCAACCTCACCATGAAGACTGATCACGGTTGTACTTGACCAACAAGCAGTAGAAATGGAATCCGGCCCAACTGTCTCATGCCAACTGCCAAAGCAGAGGTGCGCAAATGAGTGGAGAGTATGAATAGCGAGCGGTGTCGAGCTGTAACGTCCAACCAACCGCTCAAGAATCTCCCACCACCCTACTATATATATATATATATATATTCTACCTTCTTTCCCGGCCCCTCTCATTTTCGTAACTCTCTCTCTCTCTCTCTACCCCCTCTGGGTTTTTGAAGCATTCCTTCTTTAAGCACTGCAAGTGGTAAAAGTATTTGGTGAAGCATTTTTTGAGGGTTTTGCCAAGTGTGGAGGTGAGGTTCAGGGCAATGGCAGAGGCCGGAGGCCTCCCTAAGCGGAAGGTCGACAAGGACGGAGCTGATGCGTTGCATAAGAGGACGAGGAGGCCGAATTTTGATGAGGATCGTTTCCAGGTTGTCCCTGTCTTTCCCTCGCAAGAAGAGCAAGATCAGGCCAAGAAATCAAGAAATTTATGAAATAATGGCACAGAAAGAGCAAGAGGAGGCCAAGAATCAAGAAATTGAAACTGAAGATGAGAGAGAGGAGGCCAAGAATCACAAAATTGAGTTTTGGATTTGATCCGGAACCTGCAATTGGAGAACGGATGCTTAACCAGCGAGCTGGAGCTCCACAAGAAGAGGAATGAGGAGCTGCAGCGTAAATGGGAGGAAGCAACAGGGCAGCGCGAAATGACCAACAAGACGTGGAAGCTACCAACCCTGAGCCTCAAGAGGCGTATTTCAGTTCCCCATTTTGATCGTAGCTTTTTCTACCATGTGCAAGACAGTTCGACTGTGTCTCTTTGTTTGATATGAATTAGGAGATCTTTTGATTCTGAAATCCATATCCTTCAATTCATAGAGACCACCCTCCTGTGTGTAGTACGAAATACGGCCAATGTTTTCTATAATCCATTTGCCTTGTATGAAGAAGCAACAACCCTCTCTCTCTCTTCTCTGTGTATGTAGTATGAATAGAGCAGCACCATTTTTCAATTCCCCTAGCTTTGAACCTTTGGGCAGCTGTCGATCTGACGCTCCTGCCCCAGGAACCGGAGCTGGGCCTGGTTTCCTATCATGGAATTTTTATATTCGTTTTTGCACTTTACCCTGGGTCTGACATGTTCGGAACATCAACTACTTGTTAATTTTATTTTTTATTAAAAATATTTTAATAAAAATATTTTAAAATTTTATTTTATTATATTCATGATTATTATAATGTAGGTTATAGATCATTACAAATTTGGATCCAAAATCGATACAAATAATGAGTGATCAAGGGAGCCCGAAAGACCAACAGCTTTGGGAGCACTGTCCATCAAGAAATCATTTTCAACGTTAGGGGCTTGATTGGGATAACTTTTAGATTTACCATGTACATAAATGATAATACGGTAAAGTTTCATGATGGTGTTTACATACAACCATTCGTTTTTCCTCAGATATATTTTAGTATTTTTAAAAAATAAAAAAGTTCATTTTTTGAACTAAAAGTATTCATTTGCGATTAAGCATTGATTTCTAAATATTAGATCTAAAAAATACTTAGTCGATTTTGTTAGAGTTATTATCTAGTATGTTCCCAAAAGAGTATGTTATACAAATTTCCAAACCCGAAAGACCATAGCATTTATTTCTTGACCTGGCATAAGCAAAAACAATTACTTTAGAATTTTTATTAAATGACCAACATTTTTAAAGAAAAAGACAATTGAGTTCTTGAATATCTAATAAAATATAATGAGATTGTGACCATTTATCTTTTGTACATGGAGGTCAAAATCGTTCTTGTCCCTTAAATTCAAAATGGGTTGTTGTAAGAGTGTCATTGAATAGAAATAAATTACCGAAAAGAATAAATTCTTGAACTGTGTGACTCAACCTAAGCCATATAATTTGACATCAAATGAGTGAGAATGATTGTGGCCTCCATGTACAAAAGATAAATGGTCTCTTTGTAGATAATCTCAAATATAATTTGTATTCTAAGATAAACAAATATATCAAATTTAGTATATTTACATTTATAGTATTTCTTAATATTTATTTAGAAAGCTACAAATATATACACAAGGTAAATTTTTATTAAAAATATAAATCATATTTATAATAATTTATTTTACAAGTATAGTTTTAAAAACTTAAATTTTAAAAATTCTATAAATAAATATAAACGATTTAAATTGATAATAATAACTTATAATGAAAAATAAGTATAATGCAAAATATGTATAATTTATAATGCAAAATAAGTTTTTTGGATGAAATAATACAAATAGGTGTATACTATACAGCAAAATAGGCATAAATAAACCTATATAAAGTATATTTGTATTAATTTTTTAAACCATAAAGAGTATCAATGGGGTCACTCACAATTTTTATTATCGACCTAACAATTAGATAAGGGTGCAGGTTGCATACAGATGCATCCGTAGCTGTAGAGGTAAGGTGTGCCTTTAAATTTTATCATGGTATATAATTTTGATGTAAAATGTTCTTAGGATTATCTCAAAATCTATTTTTATATTTAATTATCAAATTTTAAATTTAAAAAATGGTTCAAATCAAGTAGATCTATAAACATATGGAAATCTTGAAAATAGATGGTGTAGATAATATATTGTAAAATGTACCATTTTTTAAACTTAAAATCTTTTTATTTTTCATGGTCATACATCTCAATGTCGAGATGATCAACCAAAGGGTTTTTCAACATTAAAACTACATTTTTCCAATGGATTTTTGAGGTGCATCCATAGTTCTACATTATAAGGTTGCTTCCTTATATAAACTTTTTCGTTTAGATGATCAGATCAACAGTTGCACTTAGAATTACAAGGAATAAATTAAAAAGCCAGTAGCCAAAGGACTATCATCAATAAAGTATTAACTTTAAATTCTAATAAACGATATGTAACTATAATATAAACTTATTAACTAAATAATAAAGTACTAAATTTTTAGTTTAAAATTTTTTGTTATTGACAATATACATATAGTTAGAACTTGAACATTTCATAATTAATATTTTATGTGTTGTCCTTTCAAATTTTTATTAATGAGTTTCCCTATATTAATTGAAAATAGTCAAAATTATTAGAAAATTATAAAATTTATTTATTAAAATTAAGACGGGACATTAGTCCTATTATATTTTTGAAAATGCATGAGAGATTTTATATTAGTAAAAATAAATTTATTAAGTCCTAAAATATATTTCAAAAAATAAGATGAAATGTTTATATTAAAAATATACAATAATTTTGTATATTACTTATGAAAATAGTGCATGCCTTGATGATTTAATGCCCGTTCTATTGCTAGTACCTGAACTATTGGATGCAAAATCCATCTCAAGATTGGATAATGGAGAGAAGACGCACGTTACATATGAGTCGGCCAAGTCCCTATATTTATTTAGATGTTCTACAAGGAATGCAAGGATAGAGCCTATAATCATTCCAAATATTTGGAGCGTGCCTTACTCCATGCACATTTTAAATCAAGAAGTAAAATCGTCACGTCTTCCTCGAGTTACATGATTAAACCAAGGCCGGCGTTTCCACAGCAGTATCCGCACGTTACAATACATTAAATTATAGAAAGTAATTAATCTTAAAAGGGAATTATGTGACCTCTAATCGTAGCCGTGAGATCTGAGTAGATGGCTGCGATGGCATGAATCACAATGTCACAAGCTGGTTCCTATTCGTCATATCTTGATTGGATGACTCGTAGTTTTTTGTATTTAAGTTTTGTTTTATGTATCATTTTGAAGAAAAATTTGGCATGCGCATAGATGTGATGGGGATGTACATGATAAAAATAATAAACAAATATTTTCTATGAAAAAAAATTATATAAAATTTATAAAAATATCAAGGATATTTTGATCATTTATATTTATAAAAAAATATTAATTTTTTATTTTTTTCCATGTTCACCGTAGGTTTTTGATAAGACTTCCCAAAATTTCACCAGAAACTATTTTGTACAAAAAAAAAAAAAGAACTATGTGTGACATTAACAATTGTAGCCACTGATTTTGATTCAAAGGGCTAAGAAATGTGGTGACATAGTTATATGTTGTTTGGTTCACACAGTTTTCCCACAATTAAACCCACCGCATTATATAAGCGAACAAGGACCTCGTCTGACCCCTTATCTTCATTGATCTTTCTGCAATTTCATAAGTTTTCATAGGGAAAAAACGATGGGTTCTCGACCGGAGGACTGTGCGTCGTCTCAGAGCTTTGACGAACAACGTTGGGTCATCCAAATTAGGCAACATCTTGATGAATACGATCTCGAAGAGGATGATAATGGCTTTCCAGTCTCCATTTTTACAGTTCCAAAGCCCCTCTCCACTATTAAACCGGAGGCCTTCACGCCTCAACTGGTCGCCATTGGACCTTACCACCATTGGAGACCAGAGCTTTATGAAATGCAACGCTATAAGTTATCGGCTGCTTGTCGAGCTCAGAGACAATGGCAAAAGTCACAGGGCATCAAGTTGCAGAGCGTGGTGGACCAGATTAGTAAATTCGAGAACAGGATAAGGGCTTGTTATCACAGGTATCTTGACTTCAGTTGTGAAACGCTGTCATGGATGACGGCTGTTGATGCCTGCTTTTTGGTTGAGTTTTTGAAGGTCTATGGGCCACCCATTCATGGCGAAGAGGGGAAATCTCTTGTTAGGGTTAGCTCGAGGATGCAACATTTGGTTGATTTCACTAGGAGGAAATCAGCCCATAATGCCATTGTTAGGGATTTGATGATGATGGAAAACCAGATTCCCCTGTTTTTGCTGAGAAAGCTTCTTGAGTTAGAGAACAATTGCGTTTCTAATCAAGCTGAAGAGGCTTTTGCAGCAATGGTGTCTGGTTTTTGTGCAGAGATTTCACCATTGAAAATCATGGCTTTCTCGGCCAAGGAGTTTGCAGAGAGTGGCCATTTGCTCGAGGTCTTGTATAGAATGATGGTACCAAGGCCTAATGCAAAGGAGGATCAAGAATTTGATCAAGAGGAGCCTGATGGCATTGAACCACAGCGCTCTGAGCCCAGCACTACTGACTATTGCAACCAAATCCGCAGTCTCTTGAGCTCTCTAAGTTCGTTCTTCTCCTCAGTAATATCTTCTCCCCCATTTCGTCGACTCCGAAGTCTTCTCATCTCAAGGCCATTGAAATTCCTTCTCAAGCTTCCATGGAAGATCCTCACCAGTCTCCCTCTCTTCTCTTTCTTGAAAACTCCAATAGAATTTCTTGCATTATCTGGTGAGAAGAATGAAGATGGGACCTCCTCAAACAAAGACGCCTCGATCTCAAAGCCCCCATTAATGGAGGAGCTCCACATTCCCTCAGTAACCGACCTATGCAATGCCGGTATCACTCTCTCTCTTTCCACGGGAGGCATCTCCTCGATCCAGTTCGACCCCAGTACAGGCTCTCTCTCTCTCCCTTCCATCTCTCTGGATGTTAACTCAGAGATAATTCTTCGAAATCTCGTGGCCTTTGAGGCAGCATCAGCTCCAGGTCCATTGATTTTCACCCGATACACCGAGCTGATGAATGGGATCATCGACACCGACAAAGACGTGGCTTTGATGAGAGAGAAAGGGATTTTGGTGAACCGTTTGAAGAGTGATAAGGAGGTGGCTGAATTATGGAATGGGATCAGCAGATCAGTGAGGCTCACTGAGGTGGAGGGGTTGGATAGAGTGATTGAGGAGGTTAACAAGTACTATGGGAGAAGCTGGAGGGTGGTAATGGCTAAGCTTGTGAGGGAGTATGTTTATGGGTGGTGGAGGGGCCTCACGGTGTTGGCGGCGGTGGCGCTGCTGCTGCTCACAGGGGTGCAAGCCTTCTGTTCTGTCTACGTTTGTAGACGGTGGCTTGCCATCACCGCCGCACCTGTTGGGTGACGGCGAACCTCACCCTCTCTCTTACTTGTTTGTGATACTGCCGTCTCTCTCTCTCTCTGTATCTATGTGGCACCGCGAGTGCAGGTGTATGATACTCCTTCTCTCTCCCCTAATGTTGTGTGTGATTGTGTTTTTTTTAGTGCACGTGTGGGGTGCATTCATCCACGTTTAGAGATATTTCTTATTGAGCGCGGCTGATGTGTGAGGTTGTTCAAGTTTGGCTTGGTTTTGAGAGATGGACGTGTGAAGAAAGCTCGATCCCAAGTGATCCTTTCTTCCTTTATGTGGGGAATAAAATATACCAGTAAATATTGTATCATACAATGCGGAAAATATCAGTGTAGATGTGGTTTTTAGTGGCATTTGTCAACATGTTTAAGGTTTCAAAATGTATCTGGGGCATAGTTATCCCTTTGACCCGTTATTTTGGTCCAAACAAATTTTATTCTTTTCTAAAGCTTTTTATCTCTCTTTTTGTGGTTCTCTTCGCACTTCATTTTGCATAACATTCACAAAATAAAACTATGCAAAACAACTAAACAAAAAAAAAAACCAAAAAATAAACCAATAGAGAAAGTGAGAGAGAGAGGTTTGAGGGAGAAACACAAGAAGAGAGGGAAGGGGGTCAGTAAGGAATAAAAATCCTGCCTTTTTTACTTTTTTTAATGTTAAATAAATATGGTCAAAGCGATAAAAGTTAGTCTTGATGGTTAGAAAATATAATACATACCATTAGATATGTTTTGAATTGTTGGGTTTGTTAGGGAAATAAAATCTAAAGAGAGAGTGTATGAAAATATTTTTTCAATACAATACTATTTTTTCATAATATAAAGTGGTCATAATTATTTTTAGCTGTCTTAAAATAACTATATTAAGCAAAGGTTTTTTCAAAGCTTGAAAACAAGTTCATCGTTCACTGAACTTATCAATAGTGTACATCCAGCCATCCCATTCTACATCGATTGTGATCTTTGCACTAAAGAAGGATATTCTTATCATATAATTTTTCATATTAAGAAATATATTACTGGTTCACATTCTCAAATGTTCTTTGGAGGGTCATCCATAGGGAAACCAAATATTTCAAAGCACCACCAAGGTACTTGTCAACAAAAGAAAAATAAAGCTCTAACTAAAGGATTATGTAGAGAGAGCATAAAGGCGAGCTGTATCTATTGTAAGCGGCTCCACCTTTGTGGCTTGGAAATATTTTTAAAGTTGAAGAATGATCGTACGGCGAGGGAATGGAACCTGCCTTGATCAAACCCAACACTAATATATATATATATATATATATATATATATATATATATAAAAGCAATGATCTAATGCATAGGCTGTATAATACTACAATGCAATCACACCTCTAGAAAACAATATTTTTGACATTTATATGACCTCAAATTTTGCAACATATTCTCTTCATCCTCATAATCAGTCATACGAAAAAATAATTTCAATTTGCACCATATGGTCAAAGTTAGTACCCATCCAACAAAGAATCTCGACCAACCATTTGGTGAATTTCAAGATCTAGGCTTTAACAAATTCAAAATCATTTTATTTTTATTTTTTAGCATTATTAATCTGATAATGATAAAGCAATATAAAGATTTTGGGAATAAAAAAATCCCTCTGAGGCCCATATCTAACCATCTCAATAAAATAGACGGCTTAGATTAATTGGCCTAGAATGAAAACTTTCTAGAGCATTTTTTCAAATTTTATTTTTTTTGTGATTGTTCTTCAGAATGAAAAGAGTGTACATTTAAAAATTTGTGTCAAACAAATGTCTCTAACATAGTTTTTGAAGATGGATGCATTATACTACTGTACAACCGTTGCATGAAATCATTCTCCTGTATATATATATAGGAACATATTTTAGTGGGGTTGTAGCCCTATCAAAATAAGTAAAGCCTCACTTAAAAAATTACTGAGAATTGCAGTTCTTATGTCGGAAAACATTGGATTTGATCACCTTAGCCAAGGCCATGTGGTTATGAAAAAAGAAAATACAATTTCAAGACAAAAAAAAGTGTATATAGAACCACATTATCTAGTCTTCCATTTCACCCTAAAAATAAATGTATACGTATCTCACAAGATTTGACAATGTTTCAAATTTCAGAGTCAGTGTTAGGAATTGATTTAGAGCCATCATAAAGATTTTCAATGCCCAAAGCGCTCTCCAAATGAAGATTCGAGGTGAGACTTTAAAGCAACCAAACACTAACAGCTATAATGAATATTAATATAGGTGTGATCCTAGACGTCAGATCTTTAACGAGTGGTTCAAAATACATATCGCTATTTTAATTTTAATATTTGTTTTTATAATTCAAATTAAAATGAAATTTTGGGTGTACATACCTAATACTATTGAGCACAATATAAAAATATAAAAAAAATATTTTGAAGAATTTAAAATGATCAAATTAACCCCATCATTTTTCAGAGATATTTTAATCATTTTATATGTTAGAAAATATTTGTTTTATATTTTTTCTTGTACGCCCTATTTTCTAGTACACGCCTAAAATTTCATCATGATCTAATTTTTTAAAAAACAGATTAAAATTCAGATAGTGATATGTATTTTGAACCATCTGATGAAGACCTAACAAGTGAGATTCCATC